CGGGGGACCGGCACTCACCACCGAGGCAGAGGGAGTGGGGAAACTGGATGGAGGTGAGAGCGGAGGGCGAGTTGCAGGACACGTTGAAGAGGGGGCCGCCGACGATCCACGGCTTTTCCACGAGGTCGGCATATTTGCTCCAGGATAAGAGGGAATATATGATTTTGACGGCCCTCGTTACCTCAAAAATCAAGCCCGTGAGGCTGCACTGGTAAGTCCCCTCTGCGTCCAGCTGCACCCTGCCGTGGGCAAGAGTGACCCGGTTAGTTTAGTTTCCACCGCCTAGTAATTACCATAGATATGTGGTTTGCAAGGGATAACAGCAAGACTCCCTCCCCAACAGGCGCAGAGCACTTTATCTGAATAGCACAGAAGCCACAACACTTTTTTTTTTTCTCTAGTCTCTACATTTAAACTGTCACCGGACTGTTACAAACTGGCCAGGAGGACCCAGCCAGTGCACGCAAAAGAGTTGTAAAGGATGCTTTGCCTCACGTTTCCTGTAAATGAGGCAGCTGCTTTTACACGAAGGGCTCAGCCCAGTTCCCGTCGATGTCTGAGCCGATGTCGTACGCTCACAGCACCAACATCGCACCCTCACAGCACCAACATCGCACCCTCACAGCACCAACATCGCACCCACCAACATCGCACCCTGATGACAACTTCCAAGCCACAGAGAGGGTGAACAAGGCCGGCATCCAAAGAAAAATGCAAGGTCGGTGCAAATGGGGAGGACAAGTGTCCCTGTGAAGCTTGGCAAGACCCCTCGTGTGTGTCCAGACTAAAAGAAGCACGTAAAAACGTGCCCGACGTTAATTACTGCGGCAAGACAAGGCAGGCAGGAAGGCGCCCTAAGAGCTTGCTTGGACCAGGATCTGGAGGCAGCATGGGCAGCTGCTCTAAATTGTTTATTTTTAAGGATTTGGAGGCATCTTTTGGTATAACTCCAAATGTATTTGTGCAGCAAACTAGTGTTCTTCCCACTTAAACCGAAGAGAGAAGTATCTTGATGAGAACAATGTACATGTATACGCATTATATTAAAAAAATCCATACATATATTGTTCTCCAGAAAGTGTCCTAGGGGTCACTTGCTCCTTCTGGTCCTATAAATAGATTAAAAAAACATATACATTTAAAAAGGTGATGAGAGAGCGGAATCACAATTTGCAAATTATCTCATGCAAAATGTATGGGTTGGGTTTTTTTAATAAACATACATTTTTATTTCTGCAGCGCTCACAGGGTGGCAGACAGTTCACTCCTAGCAAGAAAACAGGAAGATTAGCTCATTAAAAGCAAAGTAATTAAACACTCAGGAAAAAAAAAAAACCAAGCCAGCCCTCAAGAGATCTGTTCCTACCCGATTCATTGCAGTTGGGCAGCGACTCCTTCTCCTCCTGCTCTTCAGCTACGAAACAGAAGTTTGCAGCAAATACCTCAGCCTCCAGCAGGTTTCTGCTCCCGCGCTCGGCGAGGACAACCCACCCATTTAATTAGCTCACATTCATGAAAACCTAAGGAGAATATCTCTAAGACTAAGTCCTTGCACGCACACTTGCACACCGGCGTGCGCAGGCTTTGCACAGCATAGGGATGAAGCCGAAGGTCAGGACACGACTTTTGTCAAAAGCTCCTGACTTGCCCAAACTACTGAAAATTTTCACATCCCCAGGCCGGGTCTCATCGTGCCATACGAAGTTCAACCACCTGGCACGGAGGTACCAGTGAGCAGGTAACCACACTATCTGCGGTGCATTTGTCTCTAAAATGATTTAAATGCGCCTGAATCCTCCTTACTAACGCCCGACGCAACAGCGAAGCCCAGCAGAGTTGACACATCGGGCAAAAGTTTGTAGCCCGAGGGGCGGATTTCGCAGAAGCCGAGAGCCAAGGTGTGAGGATGGGCTGGCCGCCGGCGCGCAGACCTGGGAGAGGCACCAAATGTATTGCTGCCCCGAACAGCCTGGAAAACATCAGGCAAACCCCACTTGGTGCCTCGGCTCCCTTCCCGCAGCGATGCTATTTCAGTCCCCGAGCTGCAGCCGGGTTGCGGTGACCCGGGGCCACCCTTGGCACGGGGAAGCTCAGCTCGGCTCCGTCCGGCATCTCCCCGCGCCCACCGCCCTGCGCCGGGCTCCATTTGCAAAGCG